ATAAATTTTAAAATCCAGCTTTTCAAAATGCCAGTATTGTCCAGTTAAGGACTTTTATAAATCCCTTGGAGTCCTCCATAAAATAAGTATTTTAATCACTAAGAGTATTGAGTAAAATTTTTGCTTCCTTAATTCTGTTCCCTGGCAGTTCTGTTTATTTTTTTAAAAAAAAGCATAAAAAGCAATTTTCATTTTACCTAAATAGTCTATGACCATTATGGTTGCTTACTTAGATTTCTTTTCTTTCATACCGAAAATAAATCATTCCTTATTAGGTCACGTTTTGTTGCCACTGTAGAATTCTAGAAGGACCAGACAGAATTGAAAGACTGGAAAATTCTGACTATATTATAGATAATAGTGTAATTATCGGAGAAGAACCCGAAGTACCAGTGGCCCTAAAGTATTTTTTTATCAACTTGTCAAGGTACCTAAAAACTCCATCATCCTTCTCTTTTAAAGCCCTCATTTTCTTGAATTCTCTTATTAAAATAAAAATGTTATTGATAGGCTAACATGTATGTCAGTGACAAAAGTAGGATTCTAACTAAAAAAACGACACCTGGGCAGAAAGATTTTTGATAGGAAATGGTGGCAGAAAGACTGTCAGGAAAGAATGCAATGTTCAATGAAAAACTCAACTTAGCTATAGATGGTATGAGGACTGGGTCTTATATCAGTCAGCAGTCTTTCAATTGCAATATTCAGAAAATACAATAGAAAGTGTCTAAAACAAAAATGGAATTTATTGGCTCTCATGACCTGTGTGCCACTTATCAAATTATTGCCTCTCGGCTTCAAATTCACCTTTCAGTTTCTTTTAGTGTTTTTCTCCTTTAAAGTGAGACCTGTGTTAAGCTTTCTCAGTAGAGGGCGCTGGAGGGACCTTGCAGGAGGAAGGTGCTCTCCTACCTTGTCTGGCTGATGCCTGGTGGGCTAGCAATGTGGGTATCAGGCGAATCTCTGTCCCAGTCATATGCCCAGAACATGGTCATTTGGTAACCTTTCAGCCTTGGCCTGGCAATAACCTAATTGCTGTGCACTTGACGTGGATATTAGCACTCTAAAGCCTTCCTGTCCGAATCAGTGCCCCATTTCCCTTTGTAAGTTCTTGTGCAAACTGCCAGTGCCCCAGAGGATTTCCATCAAGCCAGCCACTGCTCCCTCTGTAAGCCTTGCTTGCTTTGACTGTGCCCAGAAGGTTTCTGTCCTTTACCATTGCAGATTACCTGCTGCTTTCCTACCTGCACTCCACAGAGTTGCTTCCTAATTGCCCAGCAACTGCAGAACAGCTCCAGTCTGGGAAACCCAGTTCATTTCTGAGTTATCCAGTGTAACAAACTATGCTTTCTTCTAGAAGGTCTGAACCCCAGCCTTGGGGATGAGGCCCCCTCCCAAGTTTTATCCGTCCTTAGATATTCTTCCTCAGCCCTAGGGTACCATATAAAATTTGCCTATGTCTTATACTCACTTAGTATAGATTAATAATTTTTAATATCAAACTTTCCATGTTTATCTTTCTATATGGTTTTTGTCTCCTAACTGGACCCAGACTAATACACTTTGACTCAGGGTTCAAAAATTATTACCAGGATTAGTCTTTAGGCTGTGCTTCCTTTAGATTGTCTCTATCTCATCCAGGCTCCCTTTCTGTGGCTCACATATTTCAATACCATCAAATATACTTGAAGAGTCAATGCTTCTTTTTCCCAGAAGCCCCAGCTAATATTTCCTAACATGTCAGTAGCTAGGCTTGGGTTACATGCACATCCCTGATCCTATTTACTTAGTCCACTAGGGATTCTCAGTTTCCTCCTTTGTACTTACATGGATTCAGTCACTTCCACATTCTAGGGTTTGTCACTTACAACACCCTACTTTTGGTATCAGTTTCTACATCAGTTATGAATTTTGTTGTTCCAAGTGACAGTAACCCAACTCAAACTGGCTTAAATAAAAACATGGAATTTACTGACTCATGCAACTGAAAAGTCCACAGGTGAGCCTGGCTTCATGTGCAACTTGATTCAGTGCTCATATTATATCACCAAGAGCCCCTTCTGGGTTGCTTCTATTCTCAGGCTGACTTTCCTTATGAGCATAATGGAGAGGGCAGTTCCCGTTGTCAGATCTTTACATTACTAAATCCAGTTAAAGAGTCAAAGCTTCTGTTTTCTCTCAAAGCTTTCTCTTCTTTTTGGGAGCATATGTCCCAATGGGGTGTTGTGATGGTTAAGTGGGGTAATATTTGTTATGTTAATGATTGTTATTATTAGCCCATTAACTCTATTAACTCTTGTCTGTCTCTGTACCAAGCACTGTGGTCAAGTGGATAGAATATCTGGACCATTTTAGGGTCCTCTTTTAGAGTTGGAGGTGAAAATGTTCAATCCCATACAATCTATACATTTGACAGTGAAGATGTATAAATTTTCTAAAGGAACAATATAGTACTTTTTTCCAGAAATAAGAGGGAAAAGCTGGGAAGGCAGTTGTGATGGTTCATTTTATGTATCAACTGGTCTGGACCATGGGGTGCTCAAATGTTTGGTCAAACATTATTCTGAGTATGTTTGTGAAGGTGTTTTTGGATGAAATTAACATTTGAATAGGTAGACTGAGTAAAGCAGATTGCTCTGCCTTATGTGGGTGAGTCTCATCCAATCAATTGAAGGCCTGAATAGAAAAAAGGGAAGACCCTCCCATGAGTAAGAGGGAACTCCTCCTGCCTGACTGATGAACTGGAACATCAGTCTCTTCCTATCTTTGTATGAAACATTGGCTCTTATGGGGTCTTAAGCCTACCAGCTTTGGGGCTTGAACTGCACCACTGGCTCTCCTGGGTCTCCAGCTTGCCAACTATAGATCTTGGGACTTGTCAGCCATCATAATAACATGAGCCAATTTCTTATACTACATCTTGAGTCTGTCTATCTTTATCTATCTATCTATCTATCTATCTATCTATCTATCTATCTATCTACATCCTGTTAGCTCTGTGTCAGTATTGATCTCTGAGAAGGAAGGGAAAAGAGGAAGGAGACAGTATGGGCAGGGGTGAGAGTGGAGGAAGACATGAAAAATGGAAGAAAGTTGGGGAAGAAACAACTTCTTGTTTCATAACACAATTTTGTCTTGGGCTGTGCAATATTGTGATTTGTAAGAAATATATAATTGGTCACTCAGGTGTATTTCTGGTACATATTTGGTCTTCGTCTATGCTTCCTGGCTCACAGTTCTCAAAACCCTTGGAATTTCTTGAGTGATAAGAGCAATGGGAATATTTTTTGTTATAATATTTGGTCTCTTGTCCTCAGTTTCTGAAAACACTTCGGAGCCATAAAGGTGAAATGAGTGTCTTGTTATCCATAACAAGCCTCTTTCAATCACAGCTGAGTTTATGTTAATGAGGTGACATTTGGATATCCCCTAAAAATGTGGGTTGGGGTAGTTACTGTGGGTACCAGCCTTAAATGGAGGGTTGAAACTTTCAGTCCCACCCCCTGATTTCTGGGGGTTGAATCAATCACCAATGGCCAGTGATTCAATCAATCATGCCTGTGTAGTGAATCCTCCTTAAAACCAAAAGGGGGAGATTTGGAGAACTTCCTGGTTGGTGAACCAAAATGCTACTATATACTACTAAGTCAGGCCTCAAACCCCACTAGGACAGAGACTCCTTTGTTAAGGGCTTCCCCCTATGTACTTCTTCACGAGGCTGCTGATTTGTATCCTTTAATATCTTTTGTAATAAACTGCAGTCTAGCAAGCAGACTAGTTCCCTGAGTTCTGTGATCTGTTCTAGCAAATTAATGGGACCCAAGGAGAGGGTCATGGGAACCTGTGATTTATAGCCAGTTAACCAGAAGCCTAGGTAATGACCTGGGTTTGTGATTGGTACCTGAAGTGGAGGACAGTCTTGTGGGATTGATCCCTTAACTTGTGGAATCTAATACTATCTTTGGGTAGACAGTGTCAGAATTAAGTTGAATTGTAGAACACCTAGCTGGTGTCTGAGAATTGCTTGATGATGTGGACAAAACCTCCACACATTAGATTCCACATA